GGGGGGTATTTATAGAAGGAGAAGCTGCTGTTCTGACATCAGGCTAATTCAGCCTGGATTCCTGGATTTAAGGAACGAACTGGGAACCAGAGCCAATCCAGTAAAGCTGAGTCTCTCCATCATTTCCTGCCAACTTTCAGCTTCACTTAAAAATGTAACTAAATGTTTCTTGGTTTGTAAAACGCTGCATGTGTTTGTTGCTCTGCAGAAAGCAGGATTCCTCTGAGCGCATGACCTAGATTAGGCCTGATGCTCCCAGGCAGCGCAGAGCGTCCCTGCTCTGAGGAGAGACAGGCACAGCGAGGCATGCAGGAAGCAGGAAACAAAGCTGGACGCACACACACACACACACACACACACACACACACACACACACACCGCTGCGCTCTGCTTCTGCAATGGCAGCTCCATCCCATAACTCCCACTGCCTTCCACTGGTTTCCAACCCTCTCCATTCACCCTGACAATAACCTGACATTAACTGAAGCCCGACTGTCCTCACTTTGATACCAACGGTCCTCGCTTCAATGGCAAGACAGGAGCCCCCCCCCACACACACACACAGCTTCCACCTCATTCTGCAAACTCAGAAAACATCCAACCCAGGATGGATGCAGCGTTAATTCAGCAGCTGATGCCTCAGCCTGCGATCAGCAGATTAGCATCCGCAGTGCTGCAGATTAAAATCTCTATAAATATCCCAGCGGGCCTAAAACCGGACCCCTCCTCTAACGAGGTTCTAAATATAAAGGAAATACTTTCACTGCAGATCAACATGCTGCCATTTAAAACTGATTCTCATTGATAATCTCGGATTATATCCTTTCAATTTCATTTTAATCAAAATATTCTGACTTAAAGTAGGTTTTATCTTGGTTCATGTCAATCTTTCCTGATTTTAACATCATTTAATCCTTTTATAAGCTTAACTTTTATCTCCCTAGAACCTGGGTTGGCTTGACGGTGTGTTCAATTCACCTGGGAATTCACAGTGATCTAATCTCTGGGCTGATTGCATTCCAGAATTTAAAATATATATACATATATTTCTTTCTTTTTCTTTTAGGTCATTTATTATTATGCGTAACCAGGGGCGGTTCTAGGACCACAGGGTTTAGGGGGCTTTGATTCAAATTAGGGCTGAATCAGCAAAACATCCAGATGTTAACGGATGAATTCAGAACTAAACATCCAGATGTTAACGGATGAATTCAGAACTAAACATCCAGATGTTAA